TGATGTTAAAGGTAAGGCCTATAGGCTGTAACTGAGAGACTAATACTTCCCTATGGATTTGAATACTGTGAGAATTGTGTGCCTGTGTTATGTGCAATTAAGAGGGATGATCAGATTTGCAAGAGTTTACTGGACTTTTCCATGGAACTCTATCAGTTGCCTAGATATATCTGTCTTTATATTGACACAGCAAACCTGGGATAATCTTACTTAGGTAGATGTGGTTTTGATGCTTGACATGAGCACGAATTTCTGTTGGTGGTTGCAGCTCTTGGCACACAACTGTAGCAGAGTTAATTGTCTATCAAAAGACTGAACCAGCACTAGGTGGTAGGCATTTTGCTTCTAATGTAACAGGCAGTTTTCCTGTGTTTGTCTGTGGCAAACACTGGCTTTGTTCTTGGTCTTTTTTTGTAGACTAAAAGCAGTATTGGAGTAGGTCTTGTGTTGCCACAAGAATGTGGCAAGATGCTAAGGAATTTGTTGATCTGTATTACATCTCCTCATACCTAGAATGAATATTTTACAGTAGATACTTAGTTCTGGAAGGTTTGTTTTTTAAAGAAAACTGTCTTAGGTCAGAAATGAAGTTGTACTCTCGTGGGATAATGAGAGTACAAATAACTGATATTTTATTTCAATCAGCTTTGAGTTGATCTGAGAGGCTGTAATTCACTTGCATTGATCATTTGTAGCTTTGGATCATCACCTGGCATTTTTGTATGCTCAGAATCATTATCTCTGCCTGGTTAAAACATAGCTTTGTGGTTTTAGGTGAACAAGATGTGGCTACAATTTTGCCTCATTACTTCAATGTCATGGAGAATACACCACCTTTAACAGTCAATAGCCCAGAGTCCTTTGTAACAGCCACGATGAAAACAGAAGAATCAAACTCACCTTTACCAGTAAATGAATCTCAAACACTAGATACCACGTGTATAGGAAACAAATCTGGTGCAAGTTCTGAGAGCTCCATGGCTGGCAGCCCCGATACGGAGTCACCCGTGCTAGTGAATGAATATGTGAGTATCCTCCAGCTAAGGTACATCCAAGAGGAATGAGAAGCTTTTTTCTATTTCAGTGGTATTTCTCGTTTCCAGTCTTGTTTAGTTTTCATCTCCAAATTCGATATGGGCTTTGGTTTTTTGATGTACTTTAATAGTCAGAACTTAGTTTTGGAGTGAAAAGAAAACAAGCTAGCACTGTTCTCTTAAATATCACTATTTTTGTTAACAGGAAGCTGGATCTGGAAATGTAAGTCAAAAATCTGATGAAGATGACTTTGTAAAAGTTGAAGACTTGCCCCTTAAACTTGCTGTGTACTCAGAGGTATTTTGCTATTATTTGTGGGGGTTATTGTTTAGAAGTGCACACCCTAAATATCTTTGCTATCTACACACCAGTAAGAATTATCCAGAATTTTGAGATCTGCTTTATCTGTTCCAAAGGCAGATTTAATGAAGAAAATGGAAACGGAGGCCCAAATCAACAGCTTGTCAGGTGAATTACTGGATGGACATGGAGCTAAAGATCAAGAATTAGTAGGAGATGCCCAAACTTTGAAAGAACCTGGTAAAGATTATTTTCTAAGTCCTACACATGAATTGGGAAAACACTCTGGAATGCTAGAATTTAAATATCACTGATTGAAGTAAGCAGTTATCACAGTGCTGAAAGAATATCCTTTTTTGTTATCATGCATTTGAAAATGTTGTATTGCTATGGAGGGACTTACCTTCCAAATCAGATTCTGTGGCTGATAAAGTCATAAAAATTAACATATGTAAAATACATGTCACAACATAATGGTTTTGAAACTTATTAGAACAGAGTATCATTTTTGTTTCTTGTTACACAAGCTTGGGTTTAATAACATTGCACATTATAATTGCTATAATCTGATTTAATAATGTTCAATATAATTTGCTGACAGACTGCTCCATCTTTTTGTGATAGAAAAGTTCAAGAGACTTTTCAGAATAGTAAAATACCTCTTCAGGGAAAGGAAGTTAGTTTTCATATGATGCATACCATGAGGTAGAAAAAAGTGTCATTGTGTATGATAGCAGTAAAAATGTGCCACTTCCATGAACTGGTATTACGCTGTTACAAAAACAGTTTTCTGCTAGTGTAGTGAGTTCTGGTTCCTCAAACAGTATAAACTGATGAAAGTGCTGCACTTTTTTTTTTTGCCATGCATTTGCAGTGACAGCATAGATTTTTCCAGAAGAGAGTGTGAAGGAAGGTGCATTTTCCTTCCATTTCATTCAGTGCCTGTCAGCATTGTCATTGGCTCATGCTAGCAGTGTGTCTGTTGTGTCTGTTTGGTGAATACTGATGCATATTCCTCTCATGGGAGCAGTCTGGATAAGAATGCCATTGCCACACCAGATTTGCAGCTAGCACTAAGCCATTGTCAATCTGTGTATGGAGGATGGCTGGAGCTGTTCAAGTAAGCCATGGCTCAGAATGCTTGTTAAGATGAAATATGTCATCAAGGTACTTCAGTAGATACTTACTAGGAGTCAAAATGTGGTCATGAGCTGTGTTTGATGCCTTGTAGCTGTTAGACAATGCCGAGTGTACTCTTTATTTTCCAGAAACTTTTGGAGCTCCAAATGCATGAGAATAACCTGAAGATATCTGCATTTATAAACTCCATGTATACAAATGCATATGGAAGATCAGCACTACTTTCCCAGAATTCTGGAAGTGTATAAAAATGTACAATTTTTGACACACTGCCTCTTAGGATAGGTATGTGAACTTCTGCCTGTGGCAGTTTGAACAGCTGGAACTGAATATTCTATTCAGTTTTGCTGCACTGTTCTTTTTTCTGTCTTAATTTTTTTTTATTTTTTATTGTGACTTGTTTAGTAATTTTAAAATTGTTCAAAATGGTAGTTTTAAATAAAGTTTGGACTTGTCTGTACGTTCTGTCTTTCGAAAAGTTTTCTTCTGGCTTACAAACTGGTGTGCTGAGCTTGTTCCTGAAAGTTAACTGACTTTAAGTGTTGGGATGCTTGCAGCAGTTTGTTACTTCTCTTACAAGAAACACTGCTGACAAGAAATTCTTGTCCCACCGTGTTTCTCCATTACAAATATGAGGTGTAGACACAGTATGTGCCTATATGTTGCCTTTACAGCCTAGAGGATAGCTGGTCTGCCACAAAGAAGTTCCTGTTTATGGCCTGTGGAATTTCTTTTTACCAGCACATTTTTCTGAGGTGAAGTTCAATACCCCTGGTTTATAGTTAGCTGCGGAAACCAGCTGCACTTTTCTGCATTTGCTGTTTTGCACTGTGAGTGTTCAGAGGAATAAATTGGCCTAAAAACGTCCATATCCTGTCACAAGCAGGACTTAAAATTGCTGCCATTGAAAGTCTGTATAATCTGTTCCTAAAGTATTTGACTTTGTAAAGAAATTCAGGAAATTACAATTAAAGATAACATTTTTTTTAAAAAAAGTTAAATTCAGCACCTAATGGAGTTTCATGGTGAAGTGGAATTAGAATTGTAGAAAAGTATATTGGAAAACTTAATTTTTTCAGATCAGAGTTGTTAACACTAAGTCATAAACCTGAGCTGGAAGTAGCTTATTCAGCAGATCTGCTTCATTATAGAGATCTTGTTTACCTTGAACAAACACGAGGCTTTTCTCCAAGTAGTTACAAAAATCACTGGTCATGTCTAGTTCAGGATTGTGTTGCTTTGGAGGTTAGTGCGATAGTGTGGCAATATACAGTGGGACCATCTAGTGACAGTGAAGCCTTAACTATGCCTGAAGTTTAAATAAAGTGAGAATGTAATTCTTCTGTGCTTGCTTTTGTTAGTTTGTTTGGAGTGTCACTCGGTTTTATGATTGAATTTTGAAATGGGAGATTATAGTCACATGACTGTCATGTCCAAAGACAAAAGTATATTAGCAAAAGGTTTGAAGACAGTTTAGTTACTGTATACAGAAAAAAGAACATTTACCATTTTGTCAACAAAGTTTTTAGCCCAAGAATCACTCAGTAGACCTAGAGGAGGACATTTTTATAAAGTAGAACAAGATTACGTGTGCATATTTGAAACAAGTCTAGTTTATATGGTATATCATTATAAAAGTTCTAGTTTATATGGTATATCATTAATTTCTAAGCTCAAGAGTGGTGTGTCCTCGTGCTCTTTCTTGAATTCATGTCCTGGAATGGTGTGTGTTGTGGTTTAACTCCAGTCAGCAACTGAGCACCAAGAAGCTGCTTGCTCACTGCCCCACCAGCAGGATCAGGAAGAGTGAAAGTGAAAAGACTCACAGGTTGAAGTAAAGACAGTTTGACAGATAAAGCAAAAGCTGTACATGCAAGCAAAGCAAAATGGCAGGCAGGTGTTCAGCCATCTCCAGCATAGCAGATCTCCATGATGCATAACAATGACTTGGGATAATTATTTTCAGGAAGCAAGTTAAGAGGTCAGAGCTGGTTCTCATCTCTTGCTAATGCAATTTAGTAACAGCTCTTCCCTTAGAGAGAGGTTGCTGTGTGACACCTGTCTGTCACAGTTGTGTAGTGAGTGACCAAAGCAATTGGAACACTGTGGTATGGAGTGAAAGCAAATCATAGTGGACTTGGACACAATTTTCACTACTGGAAGTAACTGCTGCTTCTGGGAGGAAGGTGAATTAATTGATTTCTTACAATAGATTGCATCACTGCTTTTGAAATGTTATTTTAATGAGATCCTAAGGTATCCTGAAATGATTCATGCTCCAAAACTAATTACATCATTCACAAAGTCTAAGCATTAAGACACCAGAAAACACATAGTAATTTTGAGTTGCTGTGGCTGCAATGCTAGTATTTTGAAATGCAGTTACCTACTACAGGATTGCTATCTTGCTTAACAGCAAGGAGTTCAAACAAAACTTAACCCTTCAGTGGTAAACTTTGAAACACCTAAGTTAGAAGTGCCTTCTCCCATTCTATATGAGTTTGCATATATTCATACAGTAGTATTTACTCAAAGATGGACTGGAACATTTCTTGTCCTATTTTTATATAAGCTTCTTTCTCTTCATTTGTCATCAGAGCCACAAGCTCTGGATTTTCGCTCACTTCACTGTATGAATGAGGCTGTCCACCTACCATTAAAATAGGCCCTAAAGTGTTTTGTTCCTCCTCTTGTTCAGTGTTGCTGCCTGCTCCTCTTGAGTGCTTGGCATCCTCTTCAGACTCACTGGTATCACTGCCTGACGCATGTAGTTTGCTTTTGGCAACAGGAGCCTGGTCTGTGCTAGGTGACAGCTTGGATTCGTGGATCAGAAGAGTCTTGATGATTTCATTATCAGTGACAGGTTCTTTAACACTTTCTTCAGTTTTGTCAGATGCATTTACGCCTAATACACAATACTAAGTGTTAAAGGGATCAACAGTTTACAGTTACCACAGGCATCTTGAAAGTACAGACATTTCTGAGAGCTTTCCCCTGTAAAGATTACCGTAGTGTTACTGCAGGGTTAGAGCCAGAAGTTTCAGGACTGGTACCTGACCACCTCTGGCTTTAGGAGTACTACAGTTTTAGAAACTTAAGGTCTGATAACCACTAGTGCAGAACTGAGGCATTACTCTGTTTTCTAAACCAAGCTCACTACATTTGCAATAGAAAAGCTATATTTAAACACACTAAGGCTGCTGAATTTATTTGCTAATGCTGAAAACTTACCAACACTGTTGTTGTTGGCTGTTGAGGCTCTTTCCACAGTGCTCTGTGACAACCAGATAGGTTGCTCTTTAGTTGCATTTTCTCTTGTTTTCTTCTTGCACTTTGAGTCTTGAACATCAATAACTAAGTTTTGGGTATACATAACACCAACAGAGGAACTTCTGTGTGCCCATCTTTCAGGGTGGCTGCAGGATTCCTGCACACTCGAGTCCAACTTCTGATCAAAGCTGAATGAAATGTCAAAGTTTGGACAGGTTAAAATGAAGGCAAGAACCTCTCCCCATTCCCATTGGAAAAAAACCCAACAACAACCCCAAACAAACAAGCCCCAAAACATGTTTTGTCAAGAGACAAGCTTTAACAAGTGATTTATATTAAAACAATTTACATTCCTGTCGCCTCATCTCAGAGGCAAATGGTTCTGAACCATTGATTTTTGCAAGGTCTCTTCAGTAATGCATCTCTGCATGAAGCACACTGATAGAGAAGCTTTACTTTCTCACTGAAAGGGCTGTGAGCATTAGGTGAAGGAGAAATCTGGAAAATAAATTATTTTTAAAACCAGGAAAAATAAAACCAGAAATGCAGAATGATTTAGAATGCCTTAGATATTACAGACCTCTTCATTAAACAACTGACAGTACTGAGCCATGCAGAATGGAGTATAAAGTAGGCTGCAAGTTCAGTATTTCAAAGATTGTACCACTGGAAAGTTGTTGGGGAGGTTTGTATTGATCAGAAGTTCTAGAGTTATGTTTATACCTTTCTGATAATTCTGGTATTACAGTTGGCTGAGGCTCCAGCAAGTCATAGGGCAGAACAATATCTTCAGTCTCACACAGCAGCACAAAGACAGGTTCAATCTGCTCATTGAACTTGGCTAGCAAGGTTCGAGCATCGTGCTTGGAAAACGCTGAGGCATCTTCCTCTACTTCAGTGTTGCAGTAAGTGCAGCGGAAAGTCTCTGCAACATTTCCAGATTGAAAATTCTCATGTTCATAGGATGCAAGGAGATCAGCAGTACCTTGTTAGGCAGTCCACAGCCCCAACAATTACCAAAACATTCTGGCTTTATCCATTTCTTCACATTAACTAGGGGGATGAGTTCTAAAGGCAAGCATGGGACAGACAGATAGCCACACACTTGCTGTGCAAGAGAGAAATGGCTCAGGAGAGAAAGTTAAGTTGGTTGGGCGTGGTCTCTCATCAGTAAGGTTTATTTTCTTCTCTGATACCATCTTCTCAGTTCTTAATGTAAGAAAGACACTTGCAAGCATAAACAACATTTGGTTTTAGTTGCTCAGAAAGAGTCATTTAGAGTCAAAGCATATGCTGAAAACCTGTATTTATGTCTATAAATATTAGACTATTAAAATGTATCGCCAGCCTCAATGTTTGCATTTCAGTAATTCAACAGAGTCCCTCCGTTTACAACAAAGGGATGATTTGGCCAACTGGCAGTATGTTAATTCACCACTGATATTTCAAGTTAGTCATATAAAGTTCATTGTCCCTGGCTCTGGCATTCTTTGCAGGTACCATGGCCCAAATGTTAGCACAGTAGCTGTGCTCAGAGTAATGTATTGCACTGTAATGCCATTTTAACTCATTTTGAAACAGGAGTACTCTCTAGTTGTTTTGATTTTAGAGAAGAAAATCCTACAAGCTCTGATGCCATTTCTCCTGTGGATGTGTCTTTTTACCTTGGGGGGGAGGAGTGACAGAACACCTCTGCTCTGCTGCCACTGAGCTGCAAGACACTTGTTACAGTACGTGATGGTAAACAGTTTTATCCATCTTGTCCTACTCTTCTGTCAGAAGAGCTGAACACACAAGGTGGATTAACTAACACATTCAAAACAAAGCCAGTGCTGTGTTCTCATTGCCATATGAGGAAGTGGGACTCACAAGACTTGGATGATTAATCTCAAAGCAGGTTAAGAGTTTTGTTCATAGAAAAGCCAAGGAGTGAAATCTGATTACCACCCCCAGTTTGTATATTCTTCCTCTTGCTTGGCCTGTTCTACAGAGACAGTGTTTTCTCTTACCCTCACCTCCTAGTGTCTCCTGTCCCAGGCCCTCATCCACCAGCAAACAAGAAGCAGATCCTAACACACAGGCTTTTATTGCAAAATTTGCCTAGAAGCCAGTTTTGTGCTATCAGTTATTCTTTAAGATAACAAGTAATATGTTACATACCTGTAAAGGCATCAAAGAGCTGGTTGACTTCAAGGTCTGTGTAAGTGCTAGAGCAAGATGGACATTTAAAAGAAGGCCTGGTAGCTGAATCCCGCTCATCTGCTTCTATTTTCCGGCGTATATGATCCAGTTTGTATTTTACCACATCTACCAGCACCTTGTAATTGATATAATAGTAATTGTGCCTTGTGCTTTTCCCATTGGGCCCCGTTTCCGCTCGCATACGCAGCTTCACCAGCTTGTCTGCCTTGAGCGTGTTGAGGACAGCGCGCAGTTGTTTCTGTTCAAACTTGAGCAGCTGTAACAAGTCATCCTCTTTCACACAGGGGTAGCGGATCAGTATATCCAGGGCCAAGGAGTGCTCTACACCATAAAAACCACGCACGACGTATTTGGCCAGGCGCTTTAGGGCTGCTGGGACCTCTGTGATAAGGTTTTGCTCCTCCATCGAGCTGAACCAATGTCAGAACAAGAAGTGCTGCACAACAAACAGAAGGGAAGTGAGCTGCAGTGAACCTTTCTTAGCCCTCGCAGGGACGTATAAAACACAGCATTTGCTGTGCTGCACTTCTGCAAGAGTCTGCACTGAACAGATTAACATAAAATCCTTAACCCACACCAAGGGATCAGGAAGGTATCAATAGATACCACAGATTACCTAATCTTGAAGTACAATGACTACACCTGAAATATTCATGTCCTCTTGTGTAAAAATTCACAGAAGATATCTAGGAAAACGGGTTACTGAAAGTTCATAACAATCCTCCTCACTGAAGACAGCACAGGTAATTTGCATGTCTAGGTCTGCCTGAAGTATTTGTTTGCATTCACAGCCAGACAGGTAAGATCTGAAGTAAAAGTAAAGCCTTCAAAAAGAAAGCTCAGACAAGAAATCTTTAGATTAGTTCACAACAGTATGTGAAATAGATGAAACTATATTTGCCTTTGGCAAAGCCACAAGAGGTGTTTGAGCACCTCTTCATGTGCTCTGTGTGATTTTTCTGCTGGCTGCTGTGGTCAGACAAAGGCTTCATAAAGCTCCAATTTACCTGGCCTTTACTCAGCACAGGGTGTTTGGGGCTGTGCCTGCCTGTTCCACCACACTCAACACCATTTTCCCCTTTAGTGCTCTTCTCCCCTGCAGAAGTAGAGCTTCTGGTCATCACAATTCCTAATCCCATTAACTAGAATGTAACTAATTCTAATCAGTCCAACTGTCCTAACTGTTTCTTATTTGTAAGGAGTGGAGGAAGAAGAAAAATAATTAGGTACATTTCAGTAAAGGTACATCCCAATTCCCTTCTTTGAGGTATGTTTAAATCCTACAGTAGTATCTGATAGCACAGCCTCTAGCCAGATTGCTTTGTGGTTAACCATGCAATGTGCAGCCAAACAGGGCTGGTGTGGCCACTGGGTCAGAAGGTGGGCAGGATGGCATGTTGTGGCATGGTACATTGTCAGCCCTGGCATCCACTGAAGAGGGTGGTAAAGCAATTGTTCCAGCCCAGGTAATTGCATAGTGCTACATAGAACTTCCAAGGAACCTTTATCAGAAGCCCTAGTTAAATAAACAAAACCCATTTGCACTAGCCTAGTAGTTGACCCATAATTAAATTTTCACCTCACAAGGGAAGCGCTAGCTTTTGGATAGGGAGTTGGATGGAAACCCTGAAGGCAGTGGCACCACGCTGATCTAAATTTCCTGCAGGAAAAGTGGGGCAACGTTGGAGCAGGCCACCCAGAAAAGAGGTTGTGTCTCTGTACTGCCACTGCACGAGAGCCTGAGCAGCCTCAACTGGCTTTGAGGGTAGTTGTGCCACAAGCAAGGGTTGGACCAGATAATCTAACCTAAATTCTTCTGCTCCAAGAGAGTTAAATTTAACCACAATAACAAGGAAAGTCCTCAGTCTCTTCCTGGATGATCCTCCGCAGACTGTAAGAGCAGCATTTTATGGTTTTTCACAAAAGCCTTGAGAAACAAGAAATTGTTTCAAAATTATAATAGTGTTATATGTCTCCTTTGCCCTCATCTTCAAAAGGGGCTTAACCAACTTCTACAGAAAAAATATGCTAAAGACTTAACTCTTTCTTCCTCTTTCTGGCTTAATTTGGAATTCATTTCTGTGCAGTGGCTTATACTTAGCAGGAAGGAAGGACAGACAGTGTCCTCACCCAGGTCCAGCTGCTGAGATGAGGAGCATGGCTTTGAGATTGCTCAGGCTCTGGAGAGCACTGAGCCTTTTCCTTCCACACTGGGCAGAGAGCCCACAGGATGGAGGCAGTGGAGCCTCCAGTAAAGGCCCAAGGAAAGCAGCTACCATGCAGTTCTGTAACCTGTGCCAGCCCCACTGGGTAGTGCCATATGCTGCCCCAGCATCTGTATTGGAAACAGTACCACCCACAGACATCGACCTGGGCTGGCACCTCAGAAAGGGCTGGGGTGCTCTCTGCCTGGGGTAGTGTTACATGAACTCTGGTTGGATTGTGGCATTATTAACCAAGAGAACAAATCCATTTCTTCATCTAGTCCTTGGCTAATACAGGCAGAATGCTGAGACTTAAAGGACTTGCATTAGGTGCAGGGCTCGTGACTGGTTTTTTTTTGGTTTTTACCCTAAGTCAAATACAGAATGAAATTGTTTCAAAGGGAGTGTGATAAGTAGATCACATCCTTAAGGAAGAAGTAGGACCTGAGCTCTAAGCTTGAGGTTTGCTGTCCTATCCGTTCTCTAGATGACTCCTTGTCTCAGACTTGCACTGTGTACTTGCGTCTCTAAAGCAAGCACTACTCTGAAGTGCTTCCCAGTGCCTTGATGTTAAAAGCTCTTCAGGTCCAGTCTTACAACCATGTAAAACAGTGTGCTAGTTTGGGCTGAAGTAGAAGCCCAAACCAGCACAAATATGCAAAAAAACCTCCAACACAAACCACACAGAAACCCCACAAACCAAGAAAAACACAACCCCCACCACCACACAATAGAACCTAACCTTCCCCCACCCCCATACATCAACACATACTTTCAATATCATTAAAACAGCATGAGAGACAAGTGAGAAGCTTTTTTCAAGAACAAATTCATAAATCCCACTGTCCATTTGTATGGAATTTTAGCTATGCAAGCCAGTGGTTCAACGGAAAAGGAAATGGCTTTTTTTTAAAAAAACGACTGAACTTGACCTGAATAAAAGACATTCATGGAAAAAACACAAACCCCTCAAGAGGTTTTCCTCTAAGGTATAAAAGAATAAAAATTGCATGTATTTTATAACAAAACTCACATAAAATCAAAACAGGTGGAAGTTTCTGCTATAGTGCTTTGCTGTATGTGAGGTTGTATTTCTCCAGTCCACTTCAAAAAACCTCTCCACTTATAATTGCCAAATCTGAAGTCTTGCAGGTCAGGAAAACTACTGATTTTCAAAAGCTGTTGTGCAGCTTTCAGTTGACAGGCAGGAGTTTTCTTAAGAGGAGACAGAGATCACCGTTGCCAAGGAAAGGAGGAGAAGTGTAGCAGCTTCCTTCAGAGAGAAGGACTTCAAACAGAAATCTGCTCTGCAGCTGAGCTACAGGCTATGTTAAGGAGACAGCTATTTTACTACTTATATAGATTTTTTCTCTTTTGTTTTCCAGCTGACATGATGTCCATATATGATATATGGACAAGGTATTTCAGAAGTCACAGTATAGTTTCTAACTTCATCTGCTTTGAAAGTACTTATTTTTATGAGGGTAGGAGCTACCTTTCTATTAAGTTGATTGTTTCACAAATTATTCAGTAACTCAGATGTTTGAGTGGTCCTTCTGCTTATATTTAACATGGAGCCACTAAAGCCTTTATCAAGGAGAGAGAAATGCAATGCCTTGTTTTCCCTGTAAGCAGAAACTGCCAGTAAGATGCCTTTTTTCCCTTTGGGAAACCTATACAGGGTTGGTTGTTGTGCTGGCAGGCAACTATCAAAAGCAGAATTTCAAGTTAAGAGGCATTATATAGAGCAAGTTCTGCAAGGTTTCCCTGAAGCCAGTTGCTTAATTAACATCCTATATGAGCTGACTGAGGAGACAAAGTACCCACATTGCAATCTAAAAGGCACTAAACCAAGATTTAGTAGTATTTTGTTAGACTTCATACAGCCATATCACTTACAAATAAGTTAAAAACCTTATTCATTACCTCTCTTACATGGGCAGAAAACTTCAGGCTGGTATTGTAGAAAAACTGCTCTTTTCCTAAGAGCTCAAAACAACTGCAAAACAAGCTTAAGTATTTCCTGGCCGTTTGCTAGGCCTATCTGTGATTAGCCCTAATCATCTCCCAGCTGAAGCAAGCCAGTCCCCAAATCACATTTCATTAGCAGCTGAAGTGACTTCAGCTGTATATACATTGCATCATGACGAAGTTATAAATCTTATTGCTTAATGAAATCCACCTACAACAGGCAAGGACTGAAAATGTAAGTGACTGCAATCTTTGATTAGTGTTTTCATTAGCATGACTTTAGAAGACTACAAGTAACATCATAACTAACTCTGTTGTTGTTGTCGCAAATCAAGTATTTAGTATAGGTAATTTACATCATTTGTTTATAAGCTTTCATAACCAAACCAAACTGGAAGCTCTAATATCTTGCAAAGGGAAAAGTTGGAATTCATATGCTTACTAGTTTCCGTATTTTTATTTATTAATCATCTTAGGTGGTTTATGTCTTCACAAGGAAACAAAGCGCAATTTTCCACTCTGCTTCTCCAGAAGATAAAGATAGGGATACTACTTTATGGGTTAGACATCTCTGATTAAAAACAATGTTGAAACAAGGTTGTCAGACACTGTACAGTCCAGGGTGAAAGTACTGAATTCCATCAGGATTGCAATAATCACTTTCCAGCTCAAACCTATGTGTCTTTCAGATTAGTTTTTAAATATGCACAGTGGAGGCTGTTGTTTTGTAGTGATGTGTCTTGGATCTCCTTGGTACGTGTTGCAGGTACATGTTGAATTGTGCTTTTGTAACTGCTGTTTGTTGCTGGAGCTTTGACTCTGACTTACCTGGCACATGGGTCCTTGGAGAGACCCAAGGTGTGGGTGTTTGTCTGCATAGGATAGATTGTGGGACTGGCATCAGTAATGTCACTTCAGAAGGTAGTGCTTCTGAAAAATAGAGGATACCAGAAAAAAACCAAACCACCTCATATTTTAGCATCTGTAGCAGGAATTCAGACTTGGTAACACTTCAAAGGTTTGAGACTTCCATTTAGAAACTGCAACAAGAGGTGACTGTAAAAAAGCATAAAAACAATCCCTGATATTAGTTCTGTTCTTGTGATTTATAGCAGCAGGGGTTGGTTTCATGCCTTATGGTGGGAAAAAACCTTCTACTGCTCTTTTTTTAAATTCCATTAAATAAGAAAATATTTGGCACATACAGCTGAGAACTATAATTGGCATAAAC